CAGAAGTTAATAATTGCTGGAGCTGGGCATTGAGTTCATGTAGCTTCATTTTTTCCATATGTTTGAAATTTTCCTCACTACATTTTTTTTGAAGATGCAGTTTGCTTTGCAAGAATAGGATTTTCTTCCATTTACTGTACTTTAGATGACCCTGGGTAAGTTTTCTTGACCTGGGTTATGGATTTTAAGGAATCATGGGGATTATCAAATCAGATCTAGCCAAAGCTAGAAAATGAAGTGGTCCATCAAAAAACAAGGACTTAGAACACAAGGTTCCACCTGAAATGTGACAGGAGATAGATGCTTCAAGTTATTAAAGGGTTTCAAAGATAAAATTCTAACAAAAAGGACAAGAAATTAATAAGGGATGTGTGTAAGGAGTTTGTTGAATGAGCAAAGCAATAGTTAAGAAAAATGATTCTGTCCACTCTTGTTTCTAAGACAAAGTAGAGATTCAATGCCAATGAAAAAGACATGCAGGGATGAGATGACCAAACCACAAAATGGGATATTTGTTCATGAGAAAAGAATGTGCGCTAAAGGCGTGTTAAGACACTGGAGATCTAGGGGTAGGGTCATTCAAACCTTTGCAAAACGACTTCTGCCATCTTCTCCTCTGTTTATTCCTTTTTCCTCAACAATCCAAAGTGCACAGGTCCTAAGAAAAAGGTGGTCAGAGTAAGGGATAACTGAAGCTTGGAGGAAAAGGTTAAAGATCATTTTCTCCCTCTCACTCAATCCTGAATTTAACAAATCGTGTAAATTAAATGTCACCTTCCTATTTGCATGAGGTGGGGTATAGAACGCTCAGGACTTGGAAGGACAAGTTGCTTTACACAGGTTGCAGGGAGGTGACTGGGATCTTGGGCTGTGAAGACCTCTACCCTTCTTCTCTTCTAGGCCTCACCCTCAAGAATTCCCAAAGCCCTAGAACGTTTTTTCCAGGTATGTAAACAAAACAGCACTTAAGGGTTAAGATTATGGGAAGGGAGTAGAAGGGAGCATTTGAGCTTAAGCGAGGGCTGCTCCTAGCAAGGAAGTCGGGGTGGCGGAATCAGTTTGAGAGTCACGTTGGCAAGCGCCGGAGACTCACAATGGGTCAAATCAGAGAGCCTAACAAGCCAGGGAAAGGACTGCGCTTTATACGGGTCTTTAGGCGGAAACTGCGCTTGTCAGACTCCGGGGAGACTGGTGCGGAGCCGGGTGGAGTGGGGAGGAGGGGGCGGTGGAAGAGGCGGAATCGGGGGAGAGGGCTTCAAAAGAGGGAAGAGATTGATTCCCCTGAGGCAGACGGAACGTTTAGAACGCCTCTCCCAAAATCCAGTTATCTCGCTGTTCGGTAACCTGGAGAGTTAACCAAGCCTCAGAAGTCCGCTCCTCCCCTTCGCGTCACCTGCTGGCGACGCCGCGGCGGTTCCGGGTTACGCGCTCGAGCTTGGCGGTGTGCGGCCCTCGCCGAATCCGAGCCGCCAGTCCCAGGCCAACTCCCGCCCGTGGGGGAGGACCAAGAGAAGATACGCACCAATCGGGATGGAGACTTTGAAGACGTTAACTACGGGCCAATAAGAAGAGGGAGGGCGTGGCCTGGGGGGGCGGGACGGTTGGCTCTTCGTGTTTAAAGCTGGGCGGCCGGGCCGTTAACGGCAGTTTGGACGCGTTTGCGAGCTGTACGCCTGTGTGAGCTGCGGGAAGCGAACTGAAACCTGCGGTGGTGCGATAGCCGAGCCGCGGGACTCGGTGCGGCCGACGGACATCGGCTGGGCAGGTAAGCGGGCAAAGAAGGGGAGAAGTGGTACACGCGCCCCCCCCCCCCCCAGGGCCTCCCGCCCGCCCACGGCTTTAGAGATGGGGCTCTGAGTAGCGAGGAGTTGGGAGTCTCCCTCCTCTGGTTGCCGTTCCCCCGGGCGCTCAGTGCAGAGTCCAGGTGTGCGTCCTCCGGGGGCACGTGTGAGCGGCGCCGTGCGTGCCCCCGGCGCGCCCGAACCCCGAGGTCACGTTATGCTCCCACTGCCGGTCCACTGCCCGCCGGGCGGCTGCCGCGGCGAGGACTCCAGTGGTCCGTCCACCCGGCTCTGCGAGGCGACCGGGCTTTGGGGCGGCGGGAGCCGTGCCCGCGGAGGAGTCAACCTTCGTCGGAGGCTGGCCCCGAGCGCGCGAGACGGTGACCACGCCCCGGGCCAGCTGGTGCAGACTCTGTGTTGTCATTGTGAAGGGAGAAACCTCTTCTCCCCTCCTAGTTGGCTTCACCTTTGTCAAATTCTGTTACAGTGCGAGAAACTCTTTGCCTACTGAGTTAGGATAGCGTGTAGAATTGAAGAACCCTTTAGTCTTGCCCCAGAATGAAAAACAACAACAACAACTTTTTTCCCCTGGTTATAAAAGTTATACAGTCTCATTATTTTTAGAAATCCAAGCACTGGTAAATACATACTAAAAAAGGAAGAAAATACTCGCGATTCTTATCAGCCACAGATAAAAAATCTGTTCATATTTGGGTTTACTTCAGATATTTAGACTGTAAAGTGTATTTATTTTGAATAAAGCATTTTCATTTAAAAAGCAGATCATGCCTCAGTCCCTAGTATTTCAGGAATAAGACATTTGAGCCATATCAAATGTAGACATGCATTATCATTTTTAATGGGGGCAGAATATTTCTTGCTGTGGCTCTACTATGCCATATTATTTAACCTGTCCCCTAATGGATGGACATTTGTTTTTCTAATTCATCATCAGAAAACAGTATGGTCGTGGTTACTTGCAGACGTATATGTTTGCATTCTTGTCCAGTTTGTCTCCTTAGAATAATTTCTTGGAAATGGATGGTGGCTTCCAAAAAATGGTACAGTTTAAATTCCGATTCAGGGTGGGAGGGAGGCTAAACAGGGAGGGGATACACACTTATGGCTGATTCCAATACAGCATGTCAGAAACCAATACAGCATTGTAAAACAATTAGAAATAAATTCTGGTTCATAATGCCAGAGTGCCCTCTAGAAAAACTTGTGGGTTCCCCCTCCCCCACCCCCCTCAGCAGTACAGAGTGTAAGAGTAGATATTTGTCCACACTCTGCCCTGCATTAAAAAAATCTTACCAATCTAAAAGGATAACTTAATGTTTTTATTTGCATTATTAATGAGATGGAACTTTTTATGTTTATTAGTCATGATTTCTTTGATAAATTGTCTCTTTTGTCTATTCTGCCAGTGTTTGTCGCTTTTAATATCTTTCTAAGAGGAATGTGAATTAGTGATTTTCAACCTGTTATATAATTTCCACTAGTCTGTTGTTTCTTTGGATTATGGTTATCTTTTTTTAGGGTATTTTGTTTTCTTTTGTTCTAATATTGCCGTGCTTGAAGCTACACACTTCACTTCCAAGAAGTAGAGGAATTTGTTCTAACTCAGCAAAGTTTAGAATCTTAACTAGTGACCCAGCCCCTCTTCCAATTTTAAACCCTTCCCTTCCATTCTTGAAATCCTTTCATTTGTAACTAACTCAATCGAACACTTCAGATTTTGACAAGATACTGCTGGATATTTTGGTACAGATAATATCTGTATTTATCTACAAAATATAAGCTGTTCTAGCATCTGTGTGAAAGTTTCCCTATAGGTAAGGAGAAAGGATTATCAGTTCTTTATATTAAAAAAGAAAGATAAAAAACTGACAGCTACTTACGGATCTTGCTAAGTTGTATATTTTATTATTTGCAAACACCTGTCTTCATACACTCAAGAAAAAGTGTGCAATAATTTGACTGCAAAGAAAACATGCTTAATCATAGTATAGTACACATGCCATTAAAAAAAAAAAAAATCACTTTGGGCTTTAGTGTTGGAAATCCACCCAGCCCAGTGTCCTGTTCCATTTCTGTCCCTTCTTTCCTCTGTTCTGTATTTATCTCTTTGGTAGGTAGTTTTGTATTGCATGAACATTGAAATGGATGGTATAATAGTTCTCGCAAAGCACCATTTTATTTATATATGTAACATATACTTACATGTTATGTATATAAAATCTTGTTTAAACTTCACAACCTATTGAAGTAATTGTTTTGCAAAGTAAAAGCTAAGCCCTGCTTTACTACTTACATTCATTTAGTCCTTACCATGGGTCAGACTTTGGAGTTTGTACATTGTATTATACAATACAGATAATTCTGCAAAGTTACATTTGGGGACTTCTGATTTGCTTCATCTGTGATGATTGTCCTGAGTTTTTCTTTCTTTTTTTTTGTCCTGAGTTTTTCTATGGCAACTACCAGAAATAATGTCACTAAATCCTTATTCTCGTAGATTTGATAATACATCTATGTTAACCTTGAAAGGATTTCACTTAAGATCAAATACCTTTATCCTCTCTCTTTTGCTTCTATTATAGACTCTCCTAAGCATGGCTTTTTAGTTAGTTGCTTTTTGTCTCATATATCATTTTTTAGAGTTGATTTTTTTGATTCCCTAAACTCTCTTCTTTTCCTAGGTTTTTTGTTTGTTTTTTTCAATTGAAAACTAACGCCAGTGAAAGTACATTGAAATAAGGTAGAAAGTTAAAAAAAATAAAATGCTTTGGTTTGTTCTTACATGTTAAGTGGGAATATTTTGCTACACTCCATGATTATGCTAAAAACAGAAGGATCTTTACCTCAAAATTAAAGGAGAAAGACCATTTGTGGCTCATATAGCACTATTAATAGATGGATAAGCTTCCTAAAAGATGCTGTGTTTTATCTACTTAAGTCATTTTCACTAACCAGTTTATCAAATATATGTTTTGTGTTTTTAAGTTTTGACACTTGGGCAAAGCTCTTTATGAGAACTCAGATGAGTAGTGTCATTTGCTTTTAAAAAGAACAGCACAACAAATCAGATACTTGTGGGTTCTGGTTTTAATGAATTTGAACACAAGGCACAGGTTTCCAGGTGTATGTAAATACATGTCCATTTAAAAGTTTCTTCTTGTCTCCGGCGTCGGCAGTGGTGTCGGCTGCGAGTGGGAAATGGCGGAGTACTTGGCCTCCATCTTTGGCACCGAGAAAGACAAAGTCAACTGTTCATTTTATTTCAAAATTGGAGCATGTCGTCATGGAGAAAGATGCTCTCGGTTGCACAATAAACCAACCTTCAGCCAGACCTTTGCCCTCTTGAACATTTACCCTAATCCTCAAAACTCTTCCCAGTCTGCTGACGGTTTGCGCTGCGCTGTGAGCGATGTAGAGATGCAAGAACATTATGATGAATTCTTCTTTGAGGACGTTTTCACAGAAATGGAGGAGAAGTACGGGGAGGTAGAGGAGATGAACGTCTGTGACAACCTCGGAGACCACCTCGTGGGGAACGTGTATGTCAAGTTTCGCCGTGAAGAAGACGTGGAAAAGGCTGTGATTGACTTGAACAACCGCTGGTTTAACGGCCAGCCGATCCACGCCGAGCTCTCCCCAGTGACAGACTTCAGAGAAGCCTGCTGCCGCCAGTACGAGATGGGGGAGTGCACGCGGGGCGGCTTCTGCAACTTCATGCACCTGAAGCCCATCTCCTGGGACCTGCGAGGGGAGCTGTATGGGCGCCTGCGCAAGCAGCATAGATCGCGGTCTGGTCCCGAGAGCTTGGTCGCCGTGGTGGAGGTGGCAGAGGGCAGGAGCGGGGCAGGAGCAGGACAGGAGGCGGTCAAACGACCGGGAAAGGTCCGGGAGATTCTGAGCCATGCCATTTCTACCGTATCTCTGCTAGAAAGTGTTGTAGTTGATTGACCAAACCACTTCATAATAGGAAATTTTTTTTTAAAAAAAAACAACAAAAACAAAGATGGGTCTCTAAATAAAATTTGTAGTGATAAAAAAAAAAATTAAATAAAATGAAAATTTCTTCTTGTTTCTCCTAGCTCTAGTTCTCCTGGACAGGAATGAAGGAATGTTTAAACTTCTTGTTCAAGAAAGACTTCTTTAACCTAATGGTGCTTTGTTGCCTCCTAGATCTTGGTGAGTTTTCTGTGGTTAAATGATGCTTTTAAGTTCTGCATCAACACAGATCCTCTTCGTTGGTTCCTCAAAAACAGTATCTTCTTCCTCTCGTGTGTCACTACAGTCCCTTTTGGCTTTTGTTTCTTCCTCATGGGATAAATGTGGGTGTTCAATGCGTCCCCTCCGTACAAAATGCTGGATCCGGGATTCTAATCCTTGGCATTTAGGACGATCCATTAGGGGCTTATAAGTGCGCATTTTCACTCCTTCTACAAAGGCACTGGTCTGCTTCGTGACAGAGGGCTTAACATTTCTCCATTCTATCGTTCCATCCATCTTTGGTCCTGTAATATATACAGTCAAGCATTATAGTGGATACTTTACAACAGAATCCCTTCCAAACCCTGTGACTCTCCCTCCCCCACAACCCTGTATAACTTTGGTTCCCATCATACCTGTTCCACAGGGCAGCGCAACAGAGTCCAGGCCTTGCAGCATACTGTACAGCATCTGAGTCTTCACAGCATGACTAGCCCACAGTTGCTGAAGGTGGGTGACGTTGAACTCCTGAGCTTCCCGGTCATAGATCCACTTGATCGTTTCAAACTTACAGTCATACAGCACTAAAGGGAATTCTACAGCCATGCTAGACAAGAAACAGGATGAGAATACACAGCAGCCATCCAGCAGGCCTTAAAAACCAGGATCAGCTGGCTTAGGAGCAGGGGCGAAACTGTCAACATGGAGTATCTAATAGTTGAGAAGATATGACACCATCCCTCATGTGGAACAACTTTATAACTAAAAAGAAAAACGCAGCAAACCATGGATCACTTAGTTAGGCTTGATCTACATTACAGAAAATTTCAATTGTAACAAGTCACCTAGAAGTGAGTTGACTTGGCCCCACCATAATGCTGTGAAACTATCTAAGGGGCCTGGTCCAGACACCTGTTACTTACTAAAGGGACAGAACAATGACAGAAGAAAATGAAAAGGTAATCACTGTTACATGTTCATAACATTCTACAAGTAAGAGTAAAAGCCTCATGAAGGGAGAATCAGAAACTTAGTTTTTTAGACAATGGTGGGGAGAGGAAGAATATTTTAAAATATATTCTAATGTATCTAAGGGCAATAGATTTTTTTTTGGGGGGGGGGCAGTCTGGGTTTGTGTTTTTAACTTACCTATATTGAGGCTTCTGGGGATTTTTCTCTATGTTCAGCAGCTCATCAATAACCTCTGGCTTCTCCATTCCTTGGCCAATCAGAAAAAGAATAGCCATCATACAGCGGACTTGATGATAAAGGAACGCCTGACCAGTCACTTCAAACTGGCATAACTGAAAGGGTTCTTGCCATCCCTCCTCGGCCAGGTTCTGGCCCACTCGCTGTACTTGAGCAGACAGGATGGTCCTCTGAAAATTAATCACCCCATTGGCTACGTCCATTTTACATAAGTTCCTAAAATCATGTGTGCCAACATACTTCTGAGCTGCATAGTTCATGGTTACAATGTCTAAGTTAGCACAAGGGAAAAAATAGCGGTAGGTCCGCTCAAGACAGCTGAACCTAGCACTGAAGCTAGTTTCTACGGGAGCCCAGGCCAGCACGCGGATGTCTGGAGGGAGTACCCGGTTGAGAATGTGGGTATAACGGATCTCTGTAGCCACATCATTGACTTCGTCTTTTAAGTTAAGATCCTCAGAATCCCTGCCCTTTGGAAAGTGAGAACGTAGGTCAAGAGAGATCACCTGTGGAATTAAGAGAAAGGTATTTAGAGATACAAATAATCTGAATCCTCAGTATGTACACCTAGAATGTATTAGGATTGCTTGCTTTGCGAAACAGGACAATGGCCCTTACCTGTCCAAAGGCACTAACTCCTTTGTCTGTTCGCCCACACCGGTGATAGTTGGATGTCTGCCTGTTTTCTACCAGTCGAGTCTTGGTTAGCGCCTCAAACAGTTTCTCTTCAATTGTATTGCTTGTGTTTTCCTGACTGGCAAAGCCCTGATATCCCCAGCCCAGATAGGCAATCTTTAGAGCTACATGTCTTTGACCGTGAGCACTGAAATCAAAGGCGCGCTTAGCTTTCCCCCCAGCTCCTGAAGAATTCTCTCGGCTCTTTGAGTCCTTGTTCGTGGCCTGTTCTTTTTTAAGTCGCTTTACCTGCTGCTCCAGTTCCTGTACTCTCTTCAGGAGTTTCTCAGTCTGGATTCTGTCTGCGTCATTTTCAGCCATGATATGACAACCTCGGGAATAAATACAAAGAGATCCACCCTATCTGAAAAGAGTAAAGAGACACAATTTTAGTGCTGATTCCCTTGGTGATGTCGGTATCTATCATTCCATTATATTCAGAGTATCTAAGATTTAATTTGAGGCCTAAAGGATATATAGACGTTGGATTCTGCCCAGGGATACAAGCATTACCTTCATTATTATGGGTCAATCATCTAGATATTATTCTTTTCCATCATGTCTGGTCAATTCACAGTGAAAAAGGAAGGTAGCATCAAAAAAAAAAAAAAATCCAGCTAGCATTGTTAAGATTTAAGTAGTCAGAATTTAGGGGAAATGTAGATTTCAATTCTCTATTCTTCATGAGCCGAGATGGTGGAGGATTGATGTTATTGATAATTTTCTCCTAAAACATTTCCTTTTGATGTCTCATTATATTTGTGCTATCTTCCAATCATAAAATCTTTTTATATGGAGTATTTATGTCTGTGCCAAGTTTCTGCTGCTTTCTAATATTGCAGATAAAATTAGTGCTTGTGGTGGGTGGTGCGTTCTGTCATCTGAAACAGTTCTGTCTTAAAGGTGGTGCAATAGAAGCTGGCCCAGTGGAAGAAACTTGTCAGTGATTGTACTTCATATTGGAAGTAGAATCTGGAATCAAGATTTTACCCCTTTAAGCAGCTTGATGGCACAAAGAAGGTAATTGAGCATTAAGATCTTTTTAAGTCAAATTTAATGCATGTTCTGATAAGAGATTTCTGTACCTCTAGTAGCTAAAATTGTCATGATGGAAAATAAAGTCACTCTGGATAATATAATTTAGATATCTGTTGAAATTCCTGATGTATTGCAATAATCTGAGGACAACTGTACTACATCTGTAAACTGGGACAGTACTAGACAGTCTTTGACTGATGGTTACTTTTCGTCTAGGTAACTCATTTAGTTTTTTGCTCTTTGAGTTTCTATGACAGATTACAAATTTAAATGTAAAAAATGAAACTATACAAGTATTAGGAGAAAACATGACATAACCGTCTTACAATCTTGAAGTAGGAAAGGCATAAGGAGCTGCAGAAACCCAAAAAAATGCGACCACCTAAGAATATGTTTCTAACAGCAAAAAGTCAGAAGTTAGATAACAAACTGGAAGAAAAATGTAATGATGGTATGTATTTCATATATAGTCAGCTTTCATATAAAGATTAATAAGGAAAAAACCAGCAACCTGAGAGGTAAACGGAAACAAGCATATTTCATACACAGGGAAAAAAATCTTAGGGCAACAGCTATCAAAATTGAGTGCACACATGCCGTTGACCCACCTATTCCATTTCTAGAAATTGAATGTACACATATGCTTGCACAAGTATGTAAAACTTAAGATATTAGTTATAAGACTCGTTGTTAAGAACAGAAAGAAAATCACTAAATTAAATCGCTCAGGAACACGCTGAATAAATTGTGGTATGTCCATACCTTGGACTTCCATGTACCTTTAAACAATGAAGTCAGTCTCTTTCTTCTGACACTGACACAGCTGGATCACTAAGACTGTTTAGGATTCAAAAGAGTTTCTTTATGGTATAAAAATGTGCATATGAATATGGAAAATTACTGGAGAAATGATAAGAAGCTGCCTTTGGCAGTGAAACTTGCTTTGGGTGGGGGGGTGGGGAGTCCTTGCTTTAAACTACATGTATATGTATTAGTTTTTCAGCCTGAGAAAAATATCAGAGATACAGGAAATAGTGGGCAGTAGAGACCGATTCTAGATCCAGTCAGGAAACTGGCATTGGGTGTTTGGTTTGGGTACTTAAAGTACTTAAGCATAAGGACTGTGTGCTTGTGATGGTCTTTTGGATTAAATCACTCTCACAGTTAAAAGCATGGACTCTGAATCCAGACTGCCTGAGTTAGAATTCCAGCTCAACCACTTCCTATCGCTGTAACCTTAGGCTATTTAATCTGTCCATGCCTCATGCTACTCATCTGTGAAAAGGAGATACTAAAAGCACTTATCCCACAGCTGTGAGGATTACATGAGTTAATAAATGTAAAGCACATGAAAGCAGTGCTGGGAACATAAAGTGTCCCTCTTAAGTCCAAGTTAGATAATGTACATGAAGCATTATGCCCCATATCATTAATCTCTTGAGCTTTTCTTATGCCAGAACCCACCTATCCTAGGAGCTACTAAAGGTGGCAAGACTTTCAGGCAGTAAAATTGGGAGTGATTTAAGAAGAGTCTGGAAATGAAAGCGGGTAATAAACCCTGCAAAATGACTGCAGATGGTGACTGCAGCCATGAAATCAAAAGACACTTGCTCCTTGGAAGAAAAGTTATGACCAACCTAGACAGCATATTAAAAAGCAGAGACATTACTTTGCCAACAAAGGTCTGCCTAGCCAAAGCTATGATTTTTCCAGTACTCATGTATGGAAGTGAGTTGGACTGTAAAGAAAGCTGAGCGCCGAAGAATTGATGCTTTTGAACTGTGGTGGTGGAAACGACACTAGAGTCCGTTGGACTGCAAGGAGATCAAACCAGTCCATCCTAAAGGAAATGGGTCCTTAATATTCATTCGAAGGATTGATGTTGAAGCTGAAACTCCAATACTCTGGCCACCTGCTGGGAAGAACTGACTCATTGGAAAAGACCCTGATGCTGGGAAAGATTGAAGGCAGGAGGAGAAGGAACGACAGAGGATGAGATGGTTGGAGGCATCACCGACTCAATGGACCTGAGTGAGCAAGCTCCAGGAGTTGGTGATGGACAGGGAAGCCTGGCGTGCTGCAGTCCATGGGGTCGCAAAGAGTCAGACACGGCTGAGTGACTGAACTGACCTGAGTTACTGCCCCTCCAAAGTGCTCCCTTACTGCCTGTACTAATCTGTATTTTACCACATACGTAACTGTTGTACTTAGGACTGTTCTGTTTCACTGCTATAAAATAGTACATAGGAAGGGAATGGTGTTTGAGCTGGAAGTTTATTATCAGAAATCTAATCAGTGATTTTCTCTTACAGAAGGTCCTTCAGTGTAGGAGAAGCAGTGGAGGAACTTGTGGGACCTGATGGACAAAAATGGGCTGATATGGATCCAGAAGAAGGAATGCTAGTAGCCGCTAAAGCTTACACTCATATCTGTCCAGGCCACGGTGAGGGAGATGTCAGGAGAGAAGCCCAGTCCATCCTGTATGATCCCTACAGTAAAGCCTCAGTAACCTCAGGAAAGCGACCTGCTTTTCCTGCACAACTGCATTACCCACACATAGAAAGCAACGCCCCTTCAGAAGCAGTCTCAGAGACCTCCCACAGACTCCGAAAGCCAGTTATGAAGAGAAAGGTGCTGCGTCGAAAGCCAGGTGGGGAAGTATTAGTGACAGATGAGTCGATGATCAGTGAATCAGAGTCTGGCACAGAAAGTGACATGGATGTCTGGGACTTAAGACAAAGGCTGAGGAATCTGCACTTCCAGGAAGACAGGGAATCTCCAGTTGATATTTCACAAAAATTTAGTCTACCACGTGAATACCAAGGAATTTCTCAAGATCAGCTCATTTGCTATCTACGAAGAGAAGAAATGGGCCCTCCAGCTTATGAACAAGACCTGATTGTTGCCAGCCGGCCCAAGTCCTTTATCCTCCCAAGGCTGGACCAGTTGAGCCGAAACCGGGGCAAGATAGACCGGGTAGCCCGATATTTTGAATATAAACGGGACTGGGACTCCATGCGGTTACCTGGTGAAGATCATAGGAAGGAACTACGCTGGGGTATCCGAGAGCAGATGCTTTGTCGTGCAGAAGCCCAGTCCAAGCCTCAGCATATATATGTTCCAAACAATTACCTCGTGCCAACTGAGAAGAAACGATCTGCCCTTCGCTGGGGTGTTCGTTGTGACCTTGCAAATGGTGTGATGCCCAAGAAACTTCCTTCCTTCCCTCTTTCTCCTTCTTAAGTCTTTTTTTTTTTTTTAACTAGTCTCTCCTTTCACAGGATTGTTTGCAATAATCTGGTTCTTAGTATCTCTCCTTTTGTTTAAATAGAAACAACTAACTCAAAATACCATGGAACACAGAGTAAGGACTTCACCCATCACTAGTCTTTCCTAGATATATGTCACATTGGTAGGTACCACTTAACTTCCAGATGACCATCACATCTAGCCGTTTCAAGAGGAATCATGCCAGAAAAACAGACCTAGGCTTTCTGTTTTGTCTTAGTGAGCAAAGCCAACACTATTTGTTTCATGAACTTGTTACTTTTGGCCAATGTGAGTTGCTGTTTTTATCATGGTGTTTTTAAAGTTGCTGAGCAGTAAGCTTACCTATTAAAGACTTCTAGAAATTTGTAAACGTGACCTTATTTTCCCTTAAATATTTTCCAAAGGCAGTCTCAAACCTAGGTTATGATTCTGCTTCCAATCATACTCTGCATCATACTCTCCGCACCTAAATGAGAGCCAAAGGGAATGAACAAAAACCTGGCCTTTACACACAATCCTACATGAAGGAACAGCAAGATAACCTTTGTTACTAAAGGAATACAGTAATTCCACTAACCGCGTTAAATGTTTTTTAATAGATGCTCAATAATAGCACGATATCCCATGCAAGGTTCTAACCCAAGTTTTGTTTCAGAATTATTTCAGTAATATGTTGCCCTCTGTGTGTCACTTCTGGAATGCCATACTTTTTATAGTTTGCCTCTGAGATTTTCTTAGAAATCATGTCTTGTCATTTGAAAGCTATTGCCACACTGCAACAGAGCTTCAAACTACTAGCAGCTGGAGCCAGATGCAGACATAACAACCAAAATGAATCCGGCCTCTTAGGGTCAAATCACTAACTGAGCTCATCTGAACTTTTGGATCTGTTTGTTCTTCACTTCTGTTCCAATAATACCTAGAACCTGGAGGCTGTCAGGTTTAGCATTTAAGCCAGCAGAGTAACAGCAGAAATATCTTGCTTGTTCAAGGGAAAAACAGCCATGTAACAAAAATGAATGACCTTGACCATTACTATCTGCTAAAATACATTTTCTCCATAATATTTAAGTTACATCATTCATTCACCCAGTTCCATTGTTAAGCGTTCAGCAGGGAGAGAAATAATCAGTGGCTCAAAGATACATGTAACATTCACTACAAATAAGTAGAAACTGCCAACTGTCCAATAGTGAAGTAATTAGACGTTAGTCATTGGAAATACATGGGAAGCTAATAGAAAAAGGAAAATTAGATCAAGCATACAGGCCGCACACACTGTCTTACTGCACACGCAAAGCACAAGGAAAGATCAACACACTAACTCCAGGTAGTGGGAGTCAAGGTAGTTTGTACCTCTTTTTAAAAGTTCACAGCAACATAGCATTTTTGCATACAAATCAGTTTAAAAAAAACTCCCAATGGTTTGCCTCTGCATATATTTCTCAAAGCCCAATATTACCTACCTTATGAAACCAACTAGTCCAAAGGTATTAAACCGGGAGTAAGACATTTTGGCAAAAGGGAACTGACCCAGTAGTGTTCCCCAGAACACCACCTCCCCTCCGGGTGAAGCTCGCTGGTTCTCAAGCAGCTGTGTAATATCAGGGAGGGAAGTAAAAGTCGCTCAGTCGTGTGTGACTGCGACCCCACGCTCTACGGTCCATGGAATTCTCCAGCCCAGAATACTGGAGTGGGTAGCCTTTCTCACCTCCAGGGGATGCTTCCAACCCAGGAATCGAACCCAGGTGTCCCGCATTGTGGGCGGATTCTTTATACCAGCTGAGCCACCACGGAAGCCCAGGACAGGGGTCACCAAATTATCAAACCAATGTTCAAATTTGGGGGGAAGTTGTTGCCACACCTCCTCCACATACTACCGGGATCCCCACTTCTACTAATATTTGGTTTCATGAGCAAACGAATTCTGAGGCAGAAGAGACTATACTCCGCAGTCCCAGGGGCCTCAAGAAATCGAAGTAAACAAGCTCCTAACTGTTGTACGCTTCTGACAACTGCTCCAAGAAGCACCAGACACAAAAACACAGGGTCTTTAGCGAGGTTCCACTTCCATACTCAAAAGAGTGCTTTCCTGAAAAGATCAAGGTACAGAAAAGGGAGCATAGGGGAAATGGCAGAAACGTCCATCTGTTTGCCCATCTGTTCGTTCCTCTTTGTAGAACCCAGAAAGTAATTCATCCCCAACACCCGCACACTTACCTTCCGGTTGTCGACCACGCAGCTTTCCTCGGGACAGGAAGCTGTCACTTTGCGCCGGGTCCTCATGGGAAATGTAGTCCACCGTTATGGGAAATGTAGTTCTAAGAGCCGGGAGTGCAGATTTCACACTGAAATCTGCCTAATGTTTTGCAGTCCGGCCACCTTCTGGGCACCTCCAACAAGGCATGATCTGGGGCCTGCGCGAGGACAAGAATAAGAGAGGATAATTTCTCGTCCGCTAAAACAATAAAACGTTAAATTTAAAGAACTTGACCCGATTTTATTCGTAGTTAAATTAGTAGGAAGCTATCACTGACAGTCAAAACCATTTACAATTAGACTCCACATGAAGGGCTGAAAAGGAATGTGATCGTCTCATAACAAATGACCGAGATGTCTGAGTGACCGAACAAGGACGGGGAGTCTTGCTTCAGCACCACGGAGAGATCATAACTAGGATTTTGCGCGTTTTTCTAGAGATGCTGATTGGAATCTCAAGATTCCGGTTAGAAAACTTGAAGGAAAAGATATTCTGCTTCTTTTGTCCAGATGTAGCAGTCATTGGTGCCAAATATATACCCCTGATTGTTCAGGTGAAGGTGGGAGGTGAAGGTTGTACAAAGGGGAACAGTTTTCTCCGCGTTGCTTCAGCACGAGGCACGTATCAGAACTAAGATGAAAATAAGCCGGTATTTGGAAACATGACAGGTGTGGAGTAACAGGGACAGTAGTTAGAATTTGAATAACTTTACTTCCTCTTTGTGCATCTTCCCCATTTGTCCAGTGAACCTCACTCCGTCTGACTCCACTTTCCTATGCCATTTCACCACTAGCCTTTCTGACATCTTGCAACGTAGCAGCAGAAATTTCGGGGGAAGGAGGACATGAGAGTTTGAAGCGGGGTGCAGGGGTCCTGCCCCACCACGTGGAGAATAGTATGGGGAGAGGGTGGTGGGGGAGAAGAGGTAGGACTCTCGAATCAGTGAGGAGATTCCTGCCGCTTAGAGTCTCCCACGCCGCTGCTGCCTCAGCAGAGGTCCGCCTAACATTCTAACATTCACCACAGAAGCGCCAGTGCCGGATTTCTAACGCCTGGCGCGCACCCGCGGCCGGGTGGAGGACAGCTACCGCCCGCCCCCTCCTCCCCGGACCACGCCCCCGCCCCTGACTCCTCCCACCTCCCCGGAGCTAGGGCGCCTGCGCGCGGCGGGAGGTGGGTCTCGCCCCGCCCCCCACGCCCCGCCCGGCCGCAGGAAAGTCCATTGGCCGCTGCGTGGGGCCGCGTGCTGCCTCGCGCCTGTGACTGTCGCACGTGCTGGGGCCGGAAGCAGCCGTCGCAGCGATGGCGTCGTTACTTTGGGGAGGCGACGCGGGGGCCGCGGAGAGCGAGCGGCTGAACGGCCACGTAACCGCCACCGAGCCGGGGAGGGCCAGCGGGTGGGAGCTAGAACAGCACTCCCGGAGGGCAGTGTGCTGGGGAGGGGAAGGGGAAGCCCCGGTAGCGTTTGGGGTGTCAGGTGGTAGAGAGGAGCTGTGGCAAGGACTTGGAAGAGGGCCACCGGAAGGGAGACTCCGAGAGGAACAAGACCTTGGGTTGGAAAGGGCAGAATGAAGACGCCTGCGCCGGGAGGGAACGCAGCTGGTGGCCCCAAGTAGACCCCGAATTTTCTTTTCTCCCAGTTTGACCACTGAGCCTCCGCTAGCCTTCATCTTCAGCTTAGCTGCCTACACGCTTTCCTGTCTACTTTCCTTTGCTTGTCCTGTGACCCCCAAGGACCGTCCCATTTAGACAGGTTTAGAAAAAGCAATTTCACATGCAGGGGCAGCGGAAAGTCTCCTTCCAATCTTAGGGTAATTCATACAGGAGACCAGTTCCTCAAAGGAATCCATTTATACATAACATTGCAAGAGCAACAGTATTGGGAGGGGGAATCTTCCCTTTCTTCCTTCCAGTCTGTTAGGGGGCAGCACTGGGCTGCTTGATGGTTTCCTTCCTAATATTGATTGAAATTTGTATCTTTCAATAGTTTTCAAACCTCATCCACTCCCAGAACCTTCTGGGTATCAAGAGTGCTACCATCCCAAACATAGGTGAGTGCTGTTAAAGGAGACTGGGCTCAGTTCCTTGAAAAAGTGTTGTTTTCCTCTTATCCCAACGTTGGCTCCCTTAACACTCAGGGCCCTCCACTGCCTTCCCAGTCTCTATACCCTCTTCTCTACTGCTTGACCCTTTGTGCCCACTGTAGAGTCAGCAAGAGAAACTGGGATGATATGCTAGACGTTTCTGCTTGGCATTTACCTTTACGGTTTTTCTCTCACATCCTTTTAGATGGTTCTGTTGATAGGATCGAAGAAGATGATGAAGATGATGTAGGTAGGAAAGAAATCCATTTGTGGGTATTTACTGGTATTCTGGTTCATGTACTTCACAATGCAATGAATAATATCTTAAATGGAAAAGAACTATCTTTGCTTCTGTTTTCTTTATGAATAGTGAATGTCAGAAAAAACACTAACTTCGGAGTCGGGATTACCTCTTTAGAGGAAAATTGAAGCAGAATATGTAGGAATGGGTTAAGACTTTTCAGCTGGCAAGGACAAAGTAGGTCTGGTGGCAGTAGATGTAGGCTTGCTTGAAGATAGAGTCTGGTTTAGGGCAGAGTCTCAGAAACAAAGAATTCTCAGTGCTGTGTCATTCTTTCTAGAGCCTTCTTTTACAAGAAAAATGACAGCAGGGGCAGTTGCTTGATATACAGTTACTGAATGGAAGGAAGCAACTTGTTAGATGTCATTCGGGAGGCTTGACTTTTCCCCTGCAACATCCCCTTCTTTATCCTTGCTTTTCTAGTGGATTTGGCAGCTAATTCACTCTTAAACAAGTTAATCCGGCAGTCCTTAGTAGAATCGAGTCACCGGGTTGAAGTCTTACAAAAGGATCCCAGCTCTCCACTCTACTCAGTGAAAACGTTTGAAGAACTGCGGCTGTGAGTATTTGTGCCTTAAGTGTGGGAAAATGCCAGAAAGTGTAGCACAGAATAAACTAATCTGCTAATAATAAACCTGTCAGATTCTCCTTCATGTTCTAATAATCAGCATTCAACTGAGATGTGGACGTTTTGCATGGAAATAAAATACAGCTCAAAGAGGAACACGAGGCTATCTGAGTTGTACAATGACTTGAGAACCTTTCTGATGGTAAAATTTTTAACCTTGCTGTGCTCTGGGGGATAGCTAAGCCAGACACAGCCACATTGCTACTCTCCATGGCAGAATACAGGGCTTCGCTGGTGGCTCAGTGGTAAAGAATCCGCCTCTCAATGCAGGAGACACAGGTTTAATCCCTGGGCTGGGAAGATCCCCTGGAGAAGGACATGGCAACCCTCTCCAGTATTCTTGCCTGGGAAATCCCATGGACAGAGGAGCCTGATGGGCTGCAGTCCAGTCCGTGGGGCCGCAAAAGAGTTGGATGTGGCTTAGCCACTGAACAGCAATAATGATACCAGAATACAGATAGCAGGAAATTTGGTGGCCCAAATATCCCTTGAGATAAGTTACAAACTTTTACCCCTTAACTTTTTGTCTCAAATGGTATGTAAATAACTTTCTCAAATTGGTTTGTATTTCCTAGGGATTTACCAGGTGGCATTAAGGAAATGTATTTTAACAGGGAGAATTACTGATGTGGAGAAATCCAAAATCCTAATGCCCTCTTTCTAAATGGGGAGACGCTTACCTATGATGAAAAGTTGGCTGCTAGTAATCTACCAGTTCAATTACCAATTAAACAGATCCAAACTGTGCATGTCACTGTAGTGGAAGTATTCCAGCCTACTTCACTTTATTCTCTTCTGAACACTGGTCATGAGACCCGCCCTCCCCCACTCCCCAGGAAAGAGGCATTTAAAATACCAGCTTAGAAGAATGAGCTAATATTGCATCTTCTTCTCCTAGATAGAACTGATAGAAGAGTCACCTGAATGAAATTTTGTCTTCTCTGAAAATTGCAGTTAAAACAGAAGTTTGTCATTGATTAAAAAGAAATGATAAATATCACTTAGTTTTCTTCTTGTGTGGAAACCAAAACTCTCCTGGAAAATTGTAGTTCTCTCAGCTGAGTTTTCCCGTTTTTTTTCCTCTTGATTCAAGAGAGAGTTCACCTTAAGGTGCTTGGTCTAAGCTAATAACATAACTTATTGCTTTAGTGCTCCAAATGTACAGGCATGATTCTGTATGTCTGAGAGTTGAGATTTAGATATATTATTAATACATTTCATACCCAGTTGCAAAGTGGCCTAATTTAGAAATGCACTTTTCATGTTTGTCTTTCTGAGGCTCCTGATGCATCATAGCCTTCAAGTATTTGATTTCTTTTTTTGACAGCAAGGAAGAGTTACTAAAAGGGATCTATGCGATGGGATTTAATAGACCATCCAAAATTCAAGAGATGGCTCTCCCCATGATGCTGGCACATCCGTGAGTTTCCAGGGAAATGGTGTTACAACTTGGTTATTTTTGGCCTCAACTTGGTTGATGCCCAGCGTCTCCTCTTTCCTACAGACCCCAGAACCTCATAGCCCAGAGCCAGTCTGGAACAGGAAAGACAGCTGCTTTTGTCTTGGCAATGCTCAGCAGAGTTAATGCCATGAAATTGTTTCCACAGGTAAGGAAAGGCTGAGACAGATAGGAATGCTTGCAGTGCCAGTGGTGTTTTAGTAATGGGCAGTAGTGCTGCCATGGTGTGATGGTATTTAAAATAGATGTTCTTTCTTAAAATCATAGGATTATAGGCAGCAGTACAGTGTAGTGACTGAGAGCACAGTCTTCATAGTTTGACTGGTTCCAATACCAGCCTCTCGAGTTACCAGCTGAAAACCTTAGGAGAGTTAGTGAATCTTTTGGAGTACATTTTCTTGTTAATAAAAGTAACATCTGTAAAGGTGTGGATCACAGTTGTCCACTTTGCCCTTGAACCCTGACACCAAGCGCGGTGCTTGCCCTGTAGAAACTGCTCTTTAAACATTGGATGAATGGGTATCTGCCTCATGGGATTGTCATGCAGATTGAGTGAAATAATACACATTTTTAGCACTATGCTCAACATAAAGTGAGCATTCAGTAGTGATGGCTATAAGGCTGTAGATGACCCAGTCCCTCCTACTTAACGCAGAAGGAAACAGCCTTGGAGAGGGAGAGGTGGCCTGTGAGGGCACAGTTGTCAGAGAGTGGCTGAGCAGGGGCTGGAACTGGAGCCACAGGAGGCGCAGGCTCAGTCCCTGGGTCGAGAAGATCCCCTGGAGAAGGAAATGGCAATCCACTCCGGGATTTTTGCCTTGGAAGTCCCATGGGCAGAGGAGCCTGGTGGGCTCCAGTCCATGAGGCCAGAAAGAATCCTACCTGACGGAGCACCCCGACATGATGAGCAGACACGAGTGTGGCTGCTTTACAGAGTCGCGTTCGTTTCTGCTCTAGAGCAAAGGGAACCAGCCACACGTGTACATCCAGCCCCTCTCATCTGGATTCCTTCCCGTGTAGGTGACCACAGCGCGCTGAGTTCCCTGAGCTATGTAGTGGGTTCTCATTAGTTATCTGTTTCATACGTAATATCACTATCCCGCCACAAATTGTCATTGTATTTCAGAATTGCATAATGGCCCTTATGAATCTTTCTCCTTCCCCCTTATCTTTCTGCCAGTGCCTCTGCTTGGCTCCTACTTATGAACTGGCTCTGCAAACTGGCCGTGTGGTCGAACGGATGGGGAAATTCTGTGTGGATGTTCAAGTGATGTATGCCATTCGAGGGAATCGAAGTATGTACCAGCGAGCCAGTCCTGGCTGATATATACCTGTATATATTTAAGTCAACTATTTTATTTATTTTTAGCCACCTTTTAGGAGAAGGCGGTGGCCACCCACTCCAGTACTCTTGCCTGGAAAATCCCATGGACGGAGGAGTCTGGTAGGCTTGCCGTCTATGGGGTTACACAGAGTTGGACACGACTGAAGCGACTTAGCAGCAACAGCAGTAGCCAAATTTTAAATTTCATTTTTTCTTTTGGCTGAGCCCCGTGACATGTGGGATCTTAGTTCTGTGACAGGGATCACACCTGCACTGCTGCAGTGAAGTCTTAATGACTGGACTGCCAGGGAAGTTACCCCGGCTCATATTTTAGATCCTGACTCCACCAACAATCATGGTATATTAATACCTTCTCTGCTTTCCCACCTCTAAAATGAGGATGTAATGGCACCTGTATCAGAGTTATTAACTGGAATTGAATGAAATGATAGAGATGAAGCACTGTGTACACCTCCAGCAGGTAATAAAGATCCAGTACATGTTAGCTGGTCACTCCCACAGCCAGAACAACATCTCAGTGCTTTTCCTGTTCTCTTCTCTGAGGTCACTTGTTGAGTACAGAACAGCTATTATTGTTTTATTCCTTCATGAAAGTGCTACATGCATATAGTTTAAAAAAAGTCTTTAAAACACAGAAAAGTCAAAAGTAAAAGTTCTTTCACATCTTTCAAAAACCTATTTCCAAAGACAATTATGGTTTTGCTATCAAATCTGTCAGCTTTTTTGTTTTTGAGTGTTGACAAAAAATGGGAGCTTTTTTTTCATACGGTGCAAATCTTACGCATCTTAAACATCTTTTTGTGTCAGTGTGTATAGCCCCACATCCTCCTTTGGACCAGCTGAATAATATTCCATCATTTTTTTCATGGGACCTCTTGATGGATAGTGTGGTGGTTTTCCGTTTGGGGAGGGTCTGTAGGCCTTTCACTGTGGTGCCACTTTCCTGTAGGACCATGGAGATGTTGCAGGCCGGCTTTTTAAATGACTGTGAGGCAGAATCAGTTACTCAGGACAGTTAACATTACTGTAAACCAAGAAACTCAGGGACTTCTCTTAAAACTCTGTAAAATCAGAAACCACAATGACCTTCAGGGTTTGCCCTTGGGGAACCAATAGGAAATGTGTTGCCTGACTCAGAATTCCAGACGGTTAGAGTGGTTTCCAGCTTAGAAGGCCTTCCAACCCTTTTCTCCCTAGTTCCCAGAGACACGGACGTCACCAAACAGATTGTAATTGGCACTCCTGGGACTGTCCTGGATTGGTGTTTCAAGCGAAAATTAATTGATTTGACTAAGATTCGTGTGTTTGTGCTGGATGAAGCCAATGTGATGATCGACACGCAGGGATTCGCAGACCAAAGCATTCGTATTCAAAGGTAACCTTCACATCCATCCTTTTCTTCCTGGGTCGTCTGTCCAGATAAGGGGTTTCATTTGTCCACTGCTCTTCATTGCCTTTACTGCGTATTCCCCACTTCCTTCTCCTTTAAAGCAGATTGGGTTTTCATGATTTTCAAGAGCTCAGTGAGCCTTCGACCTCCTGTAATTTCCCACTTCATCCTGTAATCTTGGTTTACTCTTGTGCCCTAGGCTTACAGATGGAATCCATATAGTGGGTCTGCACCAGATTTTGCCAATAATCTTATATTTGAGCAAAATTCTAAAGAGAATTTATTAAAACCCCATAGTGCTATTGTAAAGACGCAGTAATCTGGGGTCATCAGCCTAGTGGTCTAGTCCTGACCTTGCCTGTAAGTTCTCAAGTAAATCTTGTCATTTTGCTAGGCCTCTCTCCCAGGATCACCATGGGGCTTAAAATGTCAGGTTATCAGGCCTAACCTGAACCTTACGGCATCAGAATTTCTGGGAGTGGGCCTCTCTGTGGCACTTAGTTTTAAAGTATTTATGGTGATGGTGGTGTGGTCACTAAGTCGTGTCCGACTCTTGCGACCCTCTGGACTGCAGCCCGCCAGGCTTCTCTGTCCGTGAGGTTTCCCAGGCAGGAATACTGGAGTGGGTTGCCATTTCCTTCTCCAGGGGATCTTCCCGACCCAGGAATCGAACCCGGGTCTCCTGCATAGCAGGCAGATTCTTTCCCAACTGAGCTACAAGGGACTGTATTAAATTCAAATAGGATATTGAAAGACTAATAATGAAAACCAGTAATCCCATGCCCCCAAACCCTAGAGAACACTGTCCATTTTGGCATTAACTGTCATATCTTTAAATAACAAGCTCGCATTGCTGCTTCTCATTGATTGTCTCTTCCGAGGTGGCTCAGTGGTAAGAATCTGCCAGTGTAAGAGACTCAGATCGAACCCTGGGTTGGGAAAATCCCCTGGAGAAGGAAATGGCAACCCACTCCAGTATTCTTGCCTGGGAAATGCTATGGACAGAGAAGCCTGCACAGTTCATGGAGTTGCAAAGAGTTGGACGTGACTGAGCAGCTAAACAACAGCTGACTTCCCATCAGAGAAAGTGGGAATTTAGTCCTTCTATACCACCCCCACGCTCACTTTCCTGTCCCCTCCATGGCCTTTTGGTGGTTGTGTCATAAGAGTTTGGTTACATTAATGGTCAGTATTAATATTATTATCACAACATGAGTATTGTTAACTGTGGAGCATTGAATTATTATAATGTGGATCACTGAATTATTACATATGTAGGTTTGTTGTTTTATTTTGGCTGCACTGGGTCTTTATTGAATTTCATGGGCTTTCTAGTTGCACTACATCTGCCCCAGGGCTTGCAGGCTCAGTAGTTGTGGCTTATGGGTATGTGGGATCTTAGTTCCGTGACCAGGGATCGATCCTTTGTCCCTCACGTTGCAAGGCAGATTCTTAACCACTGGACCACAAGGAGGTCTCTAATTATGTTTTTTTGTGTGTAACTTTCCCCCCCTAAAGTTGCCGGTTTTCCTCTTTTGGCTACTACCGTTATGTAGGAACCTTCCATTTTTTCCCTACCTGTTTCATCAGAGGTGTCATATGTCAGTGATATCTCTAGATAGTCAATTCCATCTTACAACTCCATTGGTTTCTTTTTTCCCAGACGCTTTCCCACACATACTGTCTCTGGTTCTGGCCTGGACTGGCTGCACGCATGCAGCCACAGTCATGTCACAGTCCCCCCTGTCCTCGTTTGCAGCTGTGAGTCTCCTGTGCTGTGGGTCCTGTTTCTTGGTTTACTGAATGTGCTGGGACATACAGTCCAGTGACTTCCTGCAAAAGGAGGTGGAGGAAGTCCATTTTCTAGCCCCTGCATGTCTGAAAATGTTTTTATTGTGCCTGTAAATGTGATCTCTGAGTTGACTTTTCCTGGATATGGAATCTTATCCTAGAAAGCTTTCTCCTTATAAATTCAGAAACAGTGTTAAAAACAGAAAAACAGTGTATTTTTTTGTTTGTTTGTTTTTTGATTTTTTTACTATAGTTAATACTCTGTTTCTGGTGTTGCTACCGGAAAGTTTAATGTCATCCTTATCACCAGACTTTTGTCTGTGACGTTCTTTCTTCTCCAGAAGATTTTGGAATCTTTTTATCCAGAGTATAATGAGACTTCTGGGCTTGGTTCATATTTTTTTTCTTCATTGTACTACACACATGGCACGTGCTTTTCATTTCCAGAATTTGTGTCGATCAGATCTGGGGAAATTTCTTATGTTACTTCTTTCCCTACAGTGACCAACTTTTTAGGAAGCCAACCCAGTCCACAGCAGGGCGATATACACACACACACACATATATCATGTATATATAATAATATAATGCAGAAGAACTAATCATGCACATGTGTCATTACTTTACATAAAAATTTGTAAAATATATGTTTATTTGAAATTATATATCATTATCTACTTTTCTGTTTAAACAAAACAAACCATCGAACTAAACTGTGGCAATTGGTAGTAATTCATAGGAGAATTAGTTAAATATGCATGAGAAAAATACAGTAATGTTCGATCTCTGATAACAGCAATTTATTCTTTTAAAACATGATTGGATGCTTCAGTTTTGGAGGCTGTGCTGTTGTATATATTTTTTTCTTTTGACTGCACCACATAGCTTGTGGGAGTTTAGTTCCCTCACCGGGAATCAATCCTGGCCCTTGGCAGTGAGACCACAGAGTCGTACCCACTGGATTGCCAGGGAAGTCCCTACTATATATTCTTAAAATACAGAATTATAGAACTTTTTGTGAAGAGACTGTAAATCCATTAGAACTGATCACACCTACTACCTGTATTTAATGACAGACATAGTAATGACACTTCGCTTTGTGTCTGACAGTGCTGTAGGATGTTTCTCTTTTCCAGTGTCCTTGGGACTCCTTGCAACCTTCTCTGTTTGTATGTGGAAGTAACACAGAGTATAGTCAAATGTAAAATTCATTTTGATTTGCAGCTCTGCCATCAGTAAGCCCACACTGATTCTTTTTTAAAAAACTTTTTTGGAGTGTAGTACATATGCACAGTTCCTTCACAACGTTGTGTTGCTTTCTGTTCTAGAGCATAGTGAATTAGTTATACACATGGCCACTCTGTTTTAGATCTTTTTCAGTGTATGTCATTACACAGTTTTGAGAATGAAGGTTGATATGTCCCTCGTAGCTCAGTCAGTAAAGAGTCTGCCTGCAGCGCAGGAGACCTGGGTTCGATCCCTGGGTCGGGAAGATCCCCGGGAGAAGGAACTGGCAAGCCACTCCAGTATTCTTGCCTGGAGAATCCCATGGACCGAGGAGGCTGGCAGGATACAGTCCATGGGGTCACAAGAGTCAGACATGAGTTCGTGACTAAACCAAAACCCTATGTTATTAACAATCCAGAGAGGGTCCTGGGTGTGAAACACGAAATGATTAGGTGGTGAGGGAAGAGCTCTGGAGATGGTGCCATTGAGAGAAAGAAGGACAAATGTTTGTTCAGTGTGGAATAGTGGTTGGGAAGGATGTGCAAAGATCCAAAGGCAAGTTAAAAGGGTGTTTATTCAAGGAAATCAAGGAAGAAGAGGGCTGCAGATTAATGAGATGAGAAACCAGGGACAGTGACTTCCTTTAGTTGCTATGGGAAGAACAGTTTAGAGAAGAAGTGAGAACACTGATTAGGAGGTGCATGGCGTGTAGTGTTTAGTATTAGAGTTTCAGTAGTAAAGACAGAAAAATGGAAGCATCTGAGATACACTTTGAGTGAAAATGTACTGACCTGCTAGGAGGGAGAGAGGACTGAATATCAAAGACTCCCAAGTACTTGCTATATGCCACTGGGTAGAAGTATCACTACTCACTGAGGAATCCTTGACGTGTGGCATGAAAAGGGGAGATGATTCAACTCACACATATTACATCTGAGAGTTAAGTGAGCCATTCGCGAAAAGATGGCAAAAAGGCAGCAATTATGTGACTGCATAGCTCAGGAGAAAATGCTGAGAAGTCACATTAAAGCAGGGGGAGGGGTGCATGTGGAAGATGTGATGGGTTTCTGTGTCTGACTAGGCTAGGCAGTGTCCAGCTAGCTGATAAATGTTATTTCTGGGTGCATTTGCGAGGATGTTTTCAGAAAAGCTTAGCATTTGAGTCAGTAGACTGGGTAAAGAAGATCACTTTCACCAATGAGGGTGGGCATCATCTAATCCACTGAACAGAACAGAAATGTGGAAGAAGGGCAGATGCGCTCTCTGCTTGAGCCAGGACAGGCACCCAGAATCCTGGTTCTCAGGCCTTTGGACTCAGACTGAATTTACCAGACTTTTCCTGGTCCTCCAGCTTGCAGACAGTTGACTGTGGGACCTCTGGGTGTCCATAATCATGTTAACCAATTCAGTCAACCATTCAATCACTCAATCAATCAATCATCAATCCTACTGAATCTGTATCTGTAATACAGATTTTGGTTCTGAGAATGGTTCTGCTTAGTCGCTCAGTCGTGTCCCAGTCTTTGTGATCCCATGGACTGCAGTCTGCTAGGTTCCTCTGTCCGTGGACATTCTCCAGGCAAGAATATTAGAGAGGGTTGTCATGCCCTCCTCGAGGGGATATTTCCAACCCAGGAATCGAACCCAGGTCTCCCACACGGCAGGCAGAGTCTTTACCAGCTGAGCTACCAGGGAAGCCCGAGAATGGTTTTAGAGGAAGAGAATTTTAAAGATGAGTTTTCTGAACCAGTTCTGGGGCTTCTGAATTGGCTCTCTAATTTGATTAGATTTAAAGATACTAATGACTATTTCTAGTAGTATAGATAGCAGTGACAGTCCATGCCAAGATCTGGAAATAGAGATAAGCAGTGTATCTCCACCCAATACTCCTAATCAGCCACTTTCAAGAAACAAGAATCAGATGACTGTGTCTTTATACTTTGAAACTTTTATGTGGAGATCTAACA